TTATTTATATGTTGATAAAGTGGTGATTGTTTTTACCTTCCCAGAGAATTCACACAAAGTCTGTTTCTACGGTGTCTTGCCAGCTTACAGATTTTTTTTTTTCTGGGCATGCCTGCTACCCTCCGGTGGCCTGGGGTCCTGTTCAGCATGTATCCTGCCTCAGGCTTCAGCTGCCCTGTGACCTTGTATTTCTTAAAGCAGTTAGAAAATTGCAAGTCTAGATTTTACACCAGCAGCTGATTGTAGAACTGGACTGACAGTGTCTTCACAGAAGCGTAGAGACAAAACCAGTAAGAGGGTCCAAAATTTGCAAACGATATATTACAGCCTGTTTGGGAATACAAACTGCAGCTTAAATAAACCACATATATAGATGACATGATGGACAATTATTTTAACAAGGCATATGCAGTTCCTCCAACATCAATATTTGCTTTCAGTTGACCAGTGTAGACACTGCCACTCCAACATAAGCACACATCAATTCAAACAATTATATAAGTTTTCAAGAACATTATGGCCAGGCTAGCAACTGGCATTTAAATGCGAGTCAGCCTGCTTTATATCCTATGGAAGTCGAACAGGCTACCTTGTTATTAGCATGTGATCATTTTTCTGCCACAGAAAACAATAAAACACCTTTGCGCAATTAGGAGTGTAAATAATATTGTCCAAATTCTCCTCACTCTGGAGATCACAGCCGTTATCAGTTGGCTTAATTGCAGAGTTGAGTTACGGAAGTTTGTAAAAGGCTTGCCAAAAGGGGCACTGTTAATTTTTGTGGTATTTTCCTTTGCTTTTTTTTACCATACCTGACTTCTGCAGCTTCTCCTTTTTCAAGGAGTACTGTAATTTGGTGGCATGTTAACATCGGCCGATATGAAGAATATCTTAAAACATATGTGCAGTTAGTAAAGCTAAATGTAGCTGCCTCAAAAGAATGACTATTTTTTAAAGAATAAATTGCTAGTTAATTGTATAAATGGAAATCTGTAAGAAATGTTGGTAATTCGGTGTTGAGTAAGTACTGTGATTCTGTTTTTAGACCCTGACTTTCTGTACTTCCTACTTCGGCTGGAAACATAGTAGATGTAGCTGTCAACAAAGGGGCAGCCACGCCTGCTATGTCTCCAACAAAGTTCTAGGTTTTAATCACCAGTAGGGGGAGCTCCCTCTGCCCCCCCACTATTTCAGCAGCAAGCTTATTGGGTACATTAATAATGTTTACACCTTCAGTAGTCAGCAGATTGGCTTGTTGATTGTTTTAGTATTATTCCTTATCATAACAAAATACTGAACCGAAGACGTGATTTCATAAAGAACCCAGCTGTGGTATTTGAGCCAAATTAACATTGCCAAAAAGTAATGATTTAAATGAATGCAAGAACAGCTATTCATGCTGAAAATTATTAATGCTGTACTTGAAGAATAAAGAATGAAGATGATTCTTATCAGCAAGAGAAACTGTCTGGAGAACAAGATGCCCTGCTTCCGCAATTGGCAGTCTAGTCCAGAAAAGCCAGAAATGTGTCTGTATGTAATACCAGCCACATCCTGAAAGGCAGAAGGTCACCACATGCAGTCACTACAACTGACCAGGACAATCCCATTCATCCGATTTATCTGTATAATCATGTACAGATTGCCGTGGCTTTAGCATAAGAAATCCCAGGAAGAAATAAGCCACTCACCAGCAGCATGACTGTAGCTCGCAGTGTATATGGAAATGATCCACTTTTATGGAAGCTATTTAGGGGTAATATGTTGGAAGCTAACAGCTGAAATCGCCACTTTCTGTGGGTCATTGAGCATCTGACAGAGAATGGTGGTTTTGTGTTGTGTAAGTCAATCTGAGCGATAGGGGAGCTTGCAGGGAGGAAATCACCGTTAACTTTTTGTGTAAATTGAGGGTTGTCTTACTGCTCAGTTAAACCTTGACAAAGTCCTTGAGCGAAGTGTTGATTTTCCAGGACAATTTAAGACCACACCGTGCTTCTTAAGACAGTCAGACTTTGGGAAAACAATGCTTGTTCTTGCCCTACTAAGCTTTCTTATCTGACATGAGCCCAAACATCTAGAACTAGAACATGTGCTGGAGCAGTTCTCCAATGCCATCAACAGGAGACAACCTTGACTGACCAAGCTTTGCCAGCTCACTTCAGCTCAGAGAAAAAGTGGCTGAATATTCCAAAGTAGTCAAGTCAATGTGTCAGTGCTGTCAGGATCATGATCAATCTTGGATACGATATATGTGATACTTTCATTGTAAAGTTTCCATGTTGATAATATCTAAAATCACACTTATTTTTTATCATTTTTGTTGTATTTAATCAAATCTGTTTAATATATTTCATTTTAAATCTTTAGGCCTCGGGATTTATTTACTTTGACTACCACTATAATATTTTTTTGTTAAAGTTTTGTTCCCTTTCAGGTCTCAAGCGTTAGTTATTCCGGCCCTGACTTATCAGAATCCCCAAATGTTTTGTAATGATGTAATCGCCTGCAAATACAGTGTACCTGTAACACGTGTAAATGTGTCTTTTTAAATGGGCATTTGCGATAATAACAGAAAATCCACTAAGGAGATGCAAGACAGTTTATGCTCTGTGTCGTTCTTTAACTACAGAAAGAAAATGTTCTCTTTATCAAATGAAAGAACCAGATCTTTTTAATGTCGTTTAGAATGACATCACTCTCCTGGCTGTCTCAACGGCCAACACCTTTATCTGGCCCAGGGTGTAAGAAAGCCTTGCTGTTCCCAAATGTCTGTTGGAACTTGGCAGAAAGTCTTTGGATAGTTCCACTCTTCTCAACTGACTATTTAATTTGCTTCAAAAGCTTTACTCATACAGTTACCCAAGATGCAAATGGAGTTGAGCAGGAACAACCTCAAGAGGCGCTTTAATTTTAACTGAAAAAATGGAAGCATATCAAGTTGGCAGGTTCCAGACTTCATCCTTCAAATGTACGGCAATAAATACAACATCAGTGTTTCTGGAAAAGGCGAGAGAATAATGATGTAATCATATTTGGTTTTTTTTTCCCCTTAATAAAACTTGAGTCTAGCTGTTTAAAAAAAATACATTATCACATAGTTTCATAGCTTGTACAGTATCTGGCTTTCTAATTGCACCACCACTTTGAGAGCATTGTTTCTCAAATTTGGAGCGTAGTCTGTTGGTCCTACTAAGCAAACTATTAATTTAACATGTACTCTAGTTCTTTAGAGACAGTGGGAGTTGACAGGGGAAAACATGACTTTTAAGTGATTCTTTGCAATAATAAATGGGTGTATAAAAGATAGAAATTGTGATTTAAAGTGTCCTTTGGCTTATAAAGTTGTAATCTGATGGGTGAGCTAATTTCTCCTTTGGATATAACCTTGGTCATAATCCTCTAAGAAATGTAAGGTGACCAGTTATATAATATGATGTTACATTTTCTGTAGATCAGCCCTATCTATGAATTGCATAATTGTCTGTAGTGCTTTAGGAGGTCTCTGCCATTGGAAATCACATTGAGTGGGTGGATTTTTCCTTTTTGTACTTAGTCAAAACATATACATTGCTGACCCAGTGTTTTATAAGTCTGTATAGAACATTTAATTCTTTCAATGGGAATAAGGTTGTTTAACTTGATGGGGTGTATTAGCATTTGATGTATGTGCTTTCATTGATAAGAGATGTTCTGATTTTTTTAATTCACATTACAGAAGAAAGCAGTAGTTATTTTGTGATTAGTTAAGGAAGCTTCTTTCAACTAAATAGACTTTCTGAATTAATTTACTTTAGAAATAAGCAAGAACAGTATATTTAAATCAGCAAATTCTGCACCATTTGAATCTGTGATGCAGTGTGTACACCATTTGATACCCTAAAAAGAAAGGGCAAGTGAGAAACTAACCTCAGCAATAATTATTTTATGTGGAAGATAGGTCTGAGACTAAACATTGTAGTTGCAATGCTGTCTTAGAGGAATCACATTCTAATGCCTAAAGAGCTGTAAATTCTGTATACAGTGTTAACATGGGTGTTTTTTGAGACTTGTGATTTAAAGTAACATAGTAACATACAGATGCTGAATTAGTGAGATTTTAACTCAGAAGGCCTTGTAGCCTCTAGGAAACAATTTCATTGTTCACCAATTCATCAGATTTTATTGTTAATAAGTAATAGTTAAACGTACTAATAAACTTTTTACATTTTGCCTTTAATTTTATGTAATCAATCATCTCAAGGCCCTCTGGGATTTTTTTAAATAGGACATATTGGATTTTGTACTTACTATACTGTTTTAGAAATCGGAATATTTACATAGTTCAGTAGCCTGAGTTTTAGCAGTCCCCAGTGCTATAATTCTGTTATGTGGTCATGTTCATGATCTCTGATGTCCTTTTTGTGTTGTAATGTATGCATGAATGCTGAGTAAAAGGCATCAATGACTTACAGTAGCTCAAAGTTTTAGTACTTGGCTTTATTCAATAACATTTAAATCATGAGGGACAAACACATCATGCTAAAAATGACAGGCACTTGTTTTTCTTAATTTTCTAATGACAGTATAAATTTACTGGCAAACTAAGTGTCAGATAAGACGCCTGTAAAAGTGAACACATCTTCTTGAACGGTACAGTAGCATGTCTGCAATGATTAATATGGAGACACTGGTATCGGCTTTGATATTGATTTGCTGGTTCACCCTGCCATGTTTTCAAACTGTCATGTAGCGACTTGATAAAACCAATAATGGCCATGGTTTCCAGTCAGAGCCGGAATTCACTAAGTGACATAAATTCTCTGTCTCGCATTGAGAAAAAATGAAAAATTGTCAATAATTCTAGAAGAGAGCTTTTTTTCAATGTACCGTTTTCTGAACAAGCAATCCAGACAGAGACTGACAAAGTAAAGAGTATCATCCTGTACTTTGCCAGACATTCTCTGTACAGTAATGTGTGAAGTGTGAAAAGCTAATTTCTAAATTGCTTTTAATTTTCCCAGCAGATCCAGTGTTGGAAGCCGGCTGGGAGTTAGCCCGAAGAAAGATGCTGCAGACAACAGGACCGTTAGACCAGGTCAGAGCCGATCGCAATCTGACATAGAAGGGTTTTTGAGCAATGCTAGCTCACAGAACAAGGCAGGGCATCTGAAGGCATGTACAGTATCATATGTATTTTCCTAAGAAGCCCTGGGATGGAAATCATTTTGCTTACTTTAGAACGCAGTGTTGGAGACATCAGTGTTTTGATGCTTTTGTGCTGTAGGTTCTGTGTATAATTTCTGCTATCATAGTGGTCCTTGTGGATTAATGTTAGTATTTGCCCTTTTGTTCTCACAATACATGTGAGAACATACAGCTGCATTGCAGATGAGATAATTTGTTATTTTTCCAATTATCATTTATTGTCAAAGCAGGACAATAGTGGCACTAGAGCACTGTATGCATTGGTAAGGACCTTGATTTTATAATTCAGCTGCTATCTACATGGAAATGAATACGAAACCAGGATCCATCAGTCTGTGGCTGTATGCCTTTGACTGAAACTGGTGAATGAAATTGAAAACTCACAACAGCAATTAAATCTTTTCACAAACACTCTCAGGTGGGGTGTTATCCCTTGCAATGCTTGTTTTAGACATTGGGTTACTAGCTTAAGACTTTTCTCTGTCTCTTACCATGTGTTGTTTTCCTAATTCCTTTGCCTTTTAAAGAAAATAAAACAAATTAAAAACTTGTTTTGTGGCACAGCACCATAACATTGTACTTGTTATACCACAATTGTTTTCTGACATTCCAAATAAGAAGTTGATATGAATTGGGCTGTTCATCTAAAGGAAAAAAATGAATTTCAGGATTGTTTTTGTGTGCCCTGGAGCTGGAGTCAATCTTAGCGGAAGCAATGTGCACAAAAGGAACTAAAGCATAAAAATAAGTTAATGTAGACACAGTGTGTGTATGTGGTGGGGGGTGGGGGTTGGGGGCAGGAAAACACACAGGCAATTAGTTTTTGTTTTTTGTCTCTTGTTTTTGATGCTTGCTGTTGTATGTTCCTTCTGCCAAAAACCACAGTGCTCACCCACTGCTTTCCCCATCCTTCAGGCTGATACCCTGATATAATTCCGTGGCCCGCCAGGTGTGAAAATACTATCCCCTGCTCCAGTTTGTTTGCCAGAGGTTGCTAAAATGAAGTGCTTTAAAAAAAAAAAAAAAAAATTGCGTGTACCTTATTTCATCAAGAGAAACAAACAAAATATTTTTTTTTTCAGTGAATGCTGCAAGAAAAGTGGACATTTTTGTTAAATCCCCTAATTGGTCTCCTTTTCTTCAATGCAGGAGATGATTCTTCAATTAAAAGACACTAATAGTGCAATAACATTAAATAACTATATCATTTAATGTTGATCTTCTTACATTATACATTTATAGTTACTGACAGTCAAGGCGTATAAAGTAAGAAAACCCTTTTCTAAATGTCTTTTAAAGTACCGTTAATTAGATGACCACCGGCATACATTTATTTTTTCCCTTGCATTTGTGAACATTCAGTTATATTTCAACAATTCCAGCAAAAAGTCCTATTTCTCTGCAGTTTAATGAATGATAAAATATTGCCAGAACTCTTGATTAAAGTCCCAGCATTTCTGTGGTTATTGCACTGAGTCTCCATTCTGAAAGCTGCAGATTTAGGTCCAGGCACAGGCACTTAGTCAGCAAGTTTGTAAAAGGGCACTTGTGTATAAAAATATATACAAGAGTGGAGTGAATCCATCTTGTCTGTTTACTGTAAGGTACTCTTTCTCAGCCATGCTGTAACTCACTCTCAACATCATGGAATCTTTCCCTGGTACAGGTTTTCTGTTGCAGACATGTACAGTATCATATTACATTGCAACTGATACCACACCAGAGAACAGGAAAAAAGGTGGGATATGATATGAAACATTTTTAGCACATGGGAGTCTCATCAGTTGTGGTTCTATATGTACAGTAAGATGCATTTTATCTGATTGGTAGAATTTTACTTCTCTAGTTTACATCAATGATTTTTGCCCTCTGTTGCTTGACCTGTTGAGCTGCTAATCTCTGTAATGTTTGCCAAGATGTTTTTACAACCTGAATATGAAAACCTTCTGAAAATAAGAACATCAGATAGCACAATTACAGGGGCGTTTGGTCACTGAAATATGTTTTATAGATTTTGCCTGTCTAATGTCTACCGATGTATTTAAAAATAAGTGTAATGCTGAAAGGCTCAGATTACCTTGAACGTTTGATCTCCCATTTTAACATATGTGTTATAAAAGGAAGCAGGAAAACCATTCTTTTTAAAAAAGGAAAACAACATAGAGGGTCTTGTTTCACTCTAAAAGCAGTTAGCCTAAATTACACACAGCTGCCTGTTTTTCATGCTCAGCTGCACTGCTGACAGTAGTCCCTGCATCAGAAAATCCATGCAAAACCTTCCTAGCCTTCTATGTTTTAAATGCATGCAATTTATGAAATTTCAGCTTCATGGCAGCTAGATCTAAGCCAACAAGTTCTTTGTTTCTGCTCACATGCACAAAAAGCATGTCTAATTCCAAAGTTTGTAAACTAGATATTTTTTCTGTTCTTTTACTTTGCTTCTGCAAGCTATAACACTAAGCAGTTAAAGCACATTTATTATTTATTTTCATTTTTTAAGTCATTATTTTAAAAATAGATTGCAGGTGGAAAACATAATACCAATACCAATGTAGATTTCACTTTTAAACTATGTATATTGCTTTGAAAAAGCTCTCAAATAAAGTATATCAAAGTATATTAATTTCAATTAGTATAAATGAAAATAATGGATCTGAGCATAGCCGTTTCAAACTTTATTGATCTTTACCGACTATTTTATTGATTTTTAAAATATCAAACAGCACCATCAGTTGTTTCACTTGGTCAATGTCATAATTGCTTTAGCTTATTCTGATTGAACCCACCATGGAAACAGTGCAGAGAACGTGCTGGCTAATTAATGCAGATTATACGTGTAATGTGAATGCAGTGAAGTTCCATTTTAAAGCAAAATTCAAAGATACTTGTTTGTGTTTTGAAGATACTTTCAAAATGTCATGCCAGTGTTTTTTAATCTTTATGCATTTTGTAGTGCTCTCAGCAGCTTTTAAAATGTATCCATCCATCCATTTCTGAACTGCTTTCTCCAGTACAGGATTACACAGAGCACTTGAGCCTAACCCGGCAAGCAATGGACAGATACCAGTCCATCACAAGACACACACACCTTTACAATCCTTGAACTTTTCCCCTCTGCCTCCATGTGGAATACTGGCAAATAAAAATACACTGAAAAAACATTGAACATATTTCATGTACAGAATTATTTTGTACTAAATTATTTTTTTTAAGAATTGAGAATTCTCAGTTATTTATACTTATGTTTTTTTAAAGTGCTCATAAAGAACATTATTTGTCTTATGTTGTTATGGTAATTGTTTAACTACTACTACTGTGCTGGATTGTTTTTTGTGAATTTGTGAACAGTTTAACCTCTGAACAGCAAATGAACAAATAACATAACTGGAATGTGTTGACCAGCATTTTTCTAGTAGTACTTTTAAATGCTTTTTTGCCATTTGTTTTATTCCTGTCCATGGACTGTGTTGATATTGACCATATTCAGAAATTGATTTTTAATCTTCTGAACTAATTAAATCCTATTGCCTAGTCTCAATAGGTTTTACAACTCACATTCATACTTTAAAACATTATACAGAAAATACTTTCCACACACTTGCTAAAATACAACAAGATTGCTTTTATTTTTTCTACATGTTTTCCACTACTAGAAAGATTGTTTTTCTTCTGTCCAACCACGTACAAACTACCTTTTACAGCCATCCATACAAGAACTTTCAATTTGTTCAATCCAAGCCTATACATTTCAATAGTGTCCACATTGGAGCAATATCCAAGGGCCTTTAAAAATAGATAATGTGGGTCAAAGGTCACATGCCAGCTTTTCTTTCTCTTTTTTGTGGCGCTCAAAAGCTGCCAATAATATGTCGCATCCTTCAGGAGCAGAAGCTCGGTGAACAAGAAGAAAAGCATATAGTAGCTTTTCAGAGCTGAAAACATGCTTCTGACCTTAAAGGGATGTTTTCTGTATCACACATGTCTGTCGTGTTTGCATAATACAGTTCTTCTCAGCTAAGAATGCATCGGTGTGCTAACATGATCATAACCTTTTGGTCTACATTCAGTCAATAACTTTTCCATCTCTAGAATCCAGGGCTTGGACAGAACTTCTCCTTTTGCAGTTTATAAGTGCAAACAAAGTGATGTTTTACTTTGTTCTCTTATCTCTTTTTGTGACCTGCCTGGGGTAATTAAATTCTTTATGCACAAGAATCTGATTTTCTATCTAAACCTGAAAAAAGAATGATAGTTTCTGTCAATTCATTCATCACTACTCATTCATCACTTAAATGTTCAAACAATAACAGTAAATAGATTTTTTGTTTCAAAATGAAAGAGATTGATTATGATGATTAGCAGAGTGAGATGTGCTAATTAAACTAAAGCTTTTGTAGTTTAAATTGATTTTGTTAAAAACGGCAGGTGTTTGAATGTGTTTGCTCTTAAGTGGACTTTATACTCTGTTCCGATTAATTTATTTAAGAAAACAGGTTACATCATCCTTACAAATGTAGGGATCGCCAAGTTCTCCTAATATTGGAGTTTCTGTAGTTAACTGTAGTTAGCTACAAAATCCACTATGAATAGTGAAGTATTTAGGCTCAAATGTGAAAAAGTTAAGAATTAGTCTACTATAAAAAATTAACTGGGAAATACCGAAAATTCTGTGAACTATAACTTTAACCTAGTGGCATCCTTACACCGAGGAAAGCTAATCAGGAAAGCCTGTTGAGGTCCTTGCTATGTCTTGACCACCAGTTCTCATCCAGCAATCAATCACATACCTAATCGCCTGTAAACAGTAAACTGCTTTCAAACTGTCAATACTCGAGCGAATCAATGGAATCAGTCAATAAGATTAGTTAGAGGTTTTAGACAGATTTGTTG